CGAGGAGATCAGAAAAGGGTGTCAGATCCCTGGAGCCAGAGTTATAGATAGTTGTTAGCTGACTTTTACTTCCCCATTTCATGCTGGATATATTGTTCAATAAAACATAGAATGGGCCTGTGTTCAAGAAGATGGCTGCAAGAGAATTCTGAAGGAACAGGATCTCAGAAGGTCAGGTCTACTCTTGGCTGAGGTGAATAAACTTCACCCACCCAGGGCTCAGGGACTATTGCAGAGGAGAGGGCAGAAAGATTGTAAGAGCCAAGGAGAAGGTACATGACCATATGGAAATACAGTGTTACAGGCTCCTGGGACCTTGCTCATGTGAACCTACAGTAATGGTGTCAGCATACACAAGACCCTTGAAAACTCAAGCAGACAGAATCCCAGGACAGAATTGGGGAAATGGAGAGCAGGCCCCAATCTTAGTAGAATTATTGACAGCTGATTCCTTACTGGGTGAGGAAGAGTTGGTCTTCTTAAAGGGAGGAAGTCTAGATAGGCTGCCCAGAGTCCAGTGGATGAACTTGTACTGAGGGACATCTGGGGACACTAACTTTACAAAATAGGCCTTAATGCAAATGACAAAAATGTATGGATTCCAGTGGGGAAGGGCTATGGGAGGTGCCAGTGGGGAAGGGAGTACAGAGGTTGATTGAGGTGATTAAGATTGATTGAGATGTTCTGTATGAAATACACAAAAATTCAATAAAAAATTTAAAAAAGAGTTAGGCTGTTTTTTATTAGGGAATAACCAGAATGTGGCGTTGCATGGTAGGTGCTGCAGAATTTTCACTAATGTGGGCGCCAAAGAAAAATGATTAAGCTTTGAGGGGAGCAGGCTGTGAAAATGTATTTGCCACTTAATTTGTTTTTTATGATATGATGTAATGCTTGCTGTATTATATCTCCCTTGCCTGCTTAAAAAAACTTATTTCTTCATATGGTGAAATAAACTACTTATACGTATTGAGAGGAGAAAAGCAAGCACTGAAAATCTGTGAAAAAGTCTTAGGTTGGGTGATGCTGACTGGAGAATCCCACCACTGCAGGACATGTCAGGGTTTTCATTTGCTTTTCCCATGAGCACAGTTGGGAAGGAGAGCACTAACAGTGACCCTCTCATCCTCAGGTTATTGGGTGCTCTTGCTTTACAGTCCCAAAATAGATTTGGGTGCTGGGAAAAACAGGTGATCTTACTGCCTTTAAAGGCAACATTCCCTCAATCACTGCAAAGGAGTTTCCATAATTCACATCTATTAATCTGTAGAACACAGCTGGTTGTATTTTCTACATGTTAAAATTATTTACACGAGGAAAGATTATACTGAACAGGTGCATAAGCCTTGTTTCCATTATGCTGAACTGCCTCAAGATAAATTACAATAGCCAAAATGTACCTAGCATTTGCTGTATGCTAGGTGAGAGCTCAAGAGCTATGCACACATTAATTCATTTCACTCCTACAGTCAACCTCTTTACTATGATCACTGGTGGTTCTCACGAGGAAACGGAAGCACAGAGGGATTACAGAACTTGCCCCATGTCATATCACTAGTAAAGGGCCTGATTTGGTCTGTTCTATGGTTGCTGGTGGGCACTGCTTAATTACTAGAGTAATTGTGAGAAGGAGTAAACAAGATTTACATTGTTCAAAATAAATGCTGAGGATAAAAATTTCAAAAATAAAAATGTAGAATCTTGACTTGTTTTATGCAACATCACAGAAGGTAATGATAACTTTCTATTCACTATAATACTTGAGGTGAAAAAGAGTTTCCAAAAATTTAAAAAACTTGTTCATAAAACTAATTTCTAAGGTTAAATCTTATTCCAGAAGATCAATTTCTACATGGTACATTGTACATAATTTAATTTTCCCAGTTGAACATCTTCACACTATATGAACCATGAATGCATGAAATAGGAATTCCAAATGCCTTCCACATGGTGAGAAGACTTTCAAATGTGTGTCCAGGAAGCTTAAGAGTAGTTTGAAATTAAGTTATGCCTGTTCTTAGTGGCTTCTGTCAGGTGAGCCTACAGCATTAGCACTTTCCTCAGAGTGGGGTCCTGACACAATCTTTAGATGAGTCTACTGTCTGTATTCAGGCACTTTGTTCATTTCCTGAGAACAGTAGAAGGCATGTGGATGCTCATTAAGTTTCCAACCATTCCCCGAGAGCAACAGGTGGTGAATCAGAGCTTCCCTGGTATGTCATGGCTGGTTTCCTCTGTGTCTTAGAAATAGTGGACGGCATGTGAGTGCTCTCTGTGGTAGAGGCACATAAGAAGGAGAGGGATAGCAACAGGAAATATTTCCAAAGCATAAACAAACACACAGGTCTAAAAAGAACATGACTGATGTTCTTGTTACCACACACTCTACAGTCATACATGAGGGCTTCATCTTTTAAATCCTGTTCTAACTTTAAACTATGAAATGAGGATTAACTGTCCTGTAGTTTGCCACCTTAGTAGAATTAAGGTAAACTAAAATCATGAGGAAAAATCCCAAGTTAATGAAGTAGCATCATAAAATTACAAAATTTTAAGTCTACATTTATAAATGTTCAGTGACTATTAACTACCTTAGTATGTTCTTAAATTGTCTTCTCTTCAAAATTATCTATTTATTCAGCACCCACTACATTATAAAGAAAGCTTATTTCTCATTTGAATTACGGTGAGAGGACAAAGCTTATCAGACCGAATATAGAACCTATGATTTATTTTAAATACTGGACAGTGACCCAAACATTGCTTGATCACTGCATAGAAAAAAATATCTCTAGTGGATAATGATTTATTTATTTATTTATTTATTTATTTTTATGGTCTTTTTGAGACAGGGTCTCCCTGTAGCCCCAGCTGTCCTGGAACTCACTATGTAGACCAGGCTGGCCTTGAACTCACAGAGATCCGCCTGCCTCTGCCTCCCGAGTGCTGGGATTAAAGGTGTGCGCCACCACGCCCAGCCCCTCTAGTGGATAATGTAAACAGCTTTTGTCAACTGATAGCTTGCTTCTCAGTGCAGTCACTAGTAAGAGACAGAAGAACAAGGGCAGTCTCAAAGTCATACCACCTCAATGAAGCATTTCTAGCAGTTTCCTAAGACCATGGGAATGCAAGCACTTACTGGAGGTGGTAAATTATAAATAACCCTCCCAAGAGGAGGCTTCAAAACCTTCAGATTAGCCAACTGGACAAGGGCAAGGCCAAGGACCAGTGTGGAAATACAACATTAAAGTAAGATAAAGGGGCTGGAGAAATGGCTCGGCAGTTAAGAGCACTGGCTGCACTTCCAGAGGACCTGGGTTCAGTTCCCAGCATCCACATGGTAGCTAACAACCATCCTTATTTTGAGTTCTAGGGGATCGATGCCCTCTTCTGGCCTCTACAAGTACACATGCAGGCAAAACACTCATATATATAAAATAAAAATAAGTAAAGATGATAAAATAGTAGCAAATCAAAAACACATGCCTATATGTCATGTATATATCAATAATTTACTTTGGAAAAATAATGCCTTCATTTTCATTCTCTCTTACCAAGAGAGTGCCTCAGACTCAGAAGAGGGACATCCAGGTTTGAGAGCCTCTGCTAAGCTCAGCCTGTACCCTGACAACCCTGCGTTCTTGCTGCAGGGACACTGCCCCTGCCCTTCCAACTGTTCTTTGTTTGAAATGTCCTCTTTATGATTTATAATGCCACCAGGTTCTAATTAGTACTGAGCAACACTTATCTCAAATTCATCTAAGAAATTTATGATCTAATAGCCATTTCTAAGAAGCTGTCATTTTTAATGTGTGGAAGTTACTAAAGAATTGCCATAAATTAACCCTGTAGTAAGAAATTTCATGTCAATTTATGATGTTATTCTTGTTGTCAAGTGATAAGGAAGTGATTTTGACTCGATGGTAAACTCTTGTCATAGGGGTGCACTTTCTACTGTAGAAGTCAAAGACTAAAATATATACCTAGTGGACATATCTGAACTTTTTGACATTAGAAACACTGTTTCTAGAAACACTGAAAAAAAAACCAAAACTAGAACCAAAGTTTCTGACCTTCAACCTAGAAAACATAATTTTTATAAGTATTAATGATAGCAAACACAGCCCAAAATATTATAAATATGGTAGGATTTATACCTTGGTAACTCAATACTTCTATTCAAAACTATATTATTTTAATGAACACATTATTATAAGCAGCATACGGAATTGAACGAAGAATATTAATTTTAGATTGAAAAATGTACTTGCAGTGTGCTGGTTTATAAATTCTGGTACATATATTTTTATTAAATAAGAAGCTGATTTTAGGGGAATAAGTAAAGTTAGAGTAATAGAACTTTAAGTTTGGTAGGTGCCATGGGAAAATAGCAAATGACTTTTTTTGAAACGTTTTAAGCATCTCAGGTGGTTTAAGAATCTTTGAATTTTAAAACATTTTGATACTAAGCTTTATGCAATTGTTTCAAAAGATCCATACAGAGTTTCTGAGGGCAGTATGTGTTGGGTCAAAACATCTTAGTGATACAATTTCAATTTTTTTTTGGAGAGAATTATTGGCAGGAAGTAGAAGCAAGGCATCGTAGAGGGATTATTTTAAAGGCAAAGAAACAGCTGCCTACATGTCTGATTTAGTTGGATGTGAAGGTGAGTTCTTGTCAAAATTTGATGGGCTCTTAGGAACAAAGCTAAAAATTGAAGGTGAAGAGACATTCAAGACTTTAAAAACTGCATGATTTCAAGTGAAATGACATTTACATTTACTTACGGGGCATGATAGATCAAACAGTGGAAACATACAGTCTAGGTGGCAATGGCAAACTTTAAACACCCATGTTGAATTTTGGATTAAAAATTTAATCAGTTGAGATAACAACAGAGTATTTAAAGAACAACATTCACTTCTTTCTCTATTTTCCTCCAATTTATGTGAGTCATAATTACGTTCTATGAAGCCAAGACTGTCAGCGAAGTATTTACCTTTATCCCCGGCAGTCCAGGAAGCCCAGGAAGCCCTGGTTCACCCTACATAGGAAAATCACATAGCGTTACAGCATGACATTCACTCAGTGTCAGAGAAAAACATGGAAAATGCCCCAGGTGAACAGTTTCTGAAAATATAAGTTCAAAACCACAGGTGTAAGAAGGTTGATGCAATTACCCAGCTCAGTCAACTCTCAATTCAGAGATTGGCTGACACTGCAGGTTTTCCAGAATGTCCTAGAAGAAGGAAACTCTGCTCATTACTCTGTTGGCACTGCTTGCTGAAATGAGGACTATGCACTTCCATAAAGCATCCTGTCTCAGGGCTGGTTCCCCTCAGATAATCAAGAGATTGCTATGTGAACAGATGGTCACAGGAAAACAATATGCATTAAAAGTACTGCTCACTTAAAAGTATAGTAAGATATCCTTTCCATTCCTGAATGATGAGAAGACAAATAAATGGTTAAGAGTATACTTAGCTCCAGCCCGTATTCCTGACAATTGTTGAGTCAGGGTGACCCTGCTTAGCAGCCTTAGAGCTAATGGGACCACGCAGCTGTTCCCAAATACAGGTCAGAGATTAAGCGGTATGTACTGGACAGGCACAGTGGAGACAGGCTAAACCTTTTCATTTTCACAGAATTGTCTATATTATTTTAAGAACAAAGTATAGTGACAAGAGGTTACAGTGTTTAGAAAGTCTCTTGAATTCCACTGTAAAAGAGTAAAGAATCACAGGAAGAAAACACAAGTCTGCTCTGAAGTGGGGTCACGATTATTATTTGTGGAAGTGACATTGAGGTGACAGAATCACAAAATTTTGTAGTGGTCAGTCAGGCAGATGACATTCATGACAAAAGAGGTAGAAACACCAGGAAAGTGGGAGGAGGAGGTATGCTTCATAGTCTAAATGATTTAATAATCTTTAGATTTTTCATTTTATTATTTTTATTGTGCATGTGGGGAGGGTGTGCATGCCATGGCACATACGTGGAGGTCAGAGGACAACTTTGTGGATTCAGTTCTTTCTCGCCACCTTTACATGGGCTCTGGGTATCAAACCCAGGTCACAAGGCTGTACAGTAAAGCGCCTTTACCTGCTGAGCAATTTTGCTGACGCTTTAGTAATTTTCAATTCAAGGAAAACTCACTAAGAATAACCAGATTTTCCACCTTTAATATTAATACTTTCAAATTATGAAGGGCCACAATTTCCTTTGGAATTACCAAAGTAAGAATTTAGATACTTTTATTAAGCTGAGTGATTAGATAAAAAGGGGAAGCCAGGACTTTTTTGATTGCTTTGGTTAAAGACACTTCAGGAATGCAAAAGAAAGACTCTCCAGAAGCATGCATTATAAATAAGAGTAAATGAAATTAAGCGAGAGAAGAAAAGACTGTTATTAATTTACTTATTCTAGCCAAAGACGATTTGTCTGGGTATAATAAACCTATATACAGTCAAAACAGTACACATTTGACTTTCTTTTTTATTTCCACTTTTACTTTTTAGTCAGTAAAATTAAGATGATCTAGTAGAAAGGACCTGTATATGTATTTTACTGAAGTTATCTTTTACTTTCAGGAAGTAAGAGGCTTTTGAAAACAGTAAATTACACAAAAA